TTTACAGTTCAGTTTGAGCAGCAACGTATATGTCTATATATTCCTATCATCTTTCTAAAAATTTTAGTGGGGCTTCGTGAATATAAATTTATTTATATTTACGATACAAAAACGTAGTACATTGAAAGCTACAGGCAATGAACTAAATGACTTAAAATTATTGCTGAGAAATATTAAAGTGATTAGATCTGATTGATCACGATTGACTAAAAACAGTTCATTTTTGCGAAGACACCACAGAACAAACATGGTTCTATTAGCATTTTCCAACTCATCATGTCTCCAGAGATAGGGTCGAGAGGGCCCTAGAAATTTTGCAACTCAGTCATTGCAGATGTTATTAAAATTAGATCAGAAGAAGACCCAGTAATACTACTTCTGTAACGCTTTAATTGTCTAGTCATTAAAATAATACAAACTGTTTGTATTATGTAACTTCCGCTGTCTCATTTATTGGAAAGAAACTTGTCACTGTGATGTCTGGATAAGTCAAGTTGTTTTGTAATGACAAGGTATAAAACCAAATGTTCTGCAGCTATGAGTTGATAAGCATGCCACGTCGAGAAGACAACTATTGTTTCCCATGCTGTCACTTAAGCTAATCAATGTACGGCTAGCACTCCCACAGGCGACTGGCTAGGGATACACCGGATGTCGCGGAATTTTTTAAAACGATAACCTAGTGGCTAAAACAGTTGTTTCTCAACCATTTATTTGTACACATAAATATTGGTACAAGGGGGCACCGCATACATATGCGCCACACTCAACCACCAAGTCCCACATACGATCCTCGCTTCACCTACTTTGGCATGGGTGACCAGGTAGTATTATTATCCCTTACACTCAGAGTGTGGCTCATACCCAGTCGCCTGGTGAATAAGTCAATTAAATCATACCAAACTCACACAAACTGTGTAAAATAAAGCCGAAGACATAAACCTGTACTTGGTAAAACAGCTATATTGAAGAACCTAAAGTTCTTTAGATCTAAATAATTTCATATCAAAAATGGTTATTTATATTTAACAGAAACATTTTAAAACCATAGTTTCGTTCTGTGTCCCCAAATATACTCTAAAAACAACTCCCCTACATTATCATATTAATTGTTGTCGCTTAAACAGTTAACTCTTTCATATTTAGAGTTTACTGTCCAACATGCAATTTGAATTGATTGGAATCTTGACATTTTTAATACAGCAGTATTTTATACCAGCTAAAAATTTCTCTAATACTATGTTCAGATTTACAATGAATCTAAAGTTGGTGAATTTCCATCGTTGCTGTATGGGACTACAGTAAACATTATCAACTTCCTTAAGCATTTAATTGAAGAAGGAGAGATCTCTTCAAGTAATTCATCTCGCCTGTCAGAACAGTGCCGAAATTACACTCCAGAAGCGTCAATTGTAAACTATTATCGAACAAAAACAACCATGGGCTTCCATTCTGATGATGCGGAAGTAGATAAAGAAGCTCCTTTGGTTTCGATTAGGTAATTATAGAAAAAGTACTTTAGTATGTTTAGAAATTTTAGATTGAATAGGTGTGTTTCATGTGCTATATAATTATTGTGCCCTTATTACTGTCAGAAATATATCTGCCAAGATTAGGCCCGACGAGCTCCTTCACCACAGCGGCTCTGTCAACTTGGTGGTACAAACTTAAAATAAAAATGAAATCATACATTTTTAGCGCATATTAATAAGAATTGTGTTGAAATCATCCTTTGATAATGGGAAAAGGTCAGTGTGTTTATGCATAATCTGTATGGTTCCCCCCAGTAAGATTGTGTTAAACAATGATGACATCAAACTAAACTATAAATTGATCAGTAAAATTAATATTTTACTAGTGCTTGAGCAAATTGAAATATCTTTCATACTACAGGCAACTGACTTTAACCGATTCGGTTCTAACTGTTCTACTAACCAACAGGAGAATATATTAAGCTAACAACTAAACACTGACAGTACCAAAAGGAAATTTACATTCGACTTTGTTTCAAATTCATATGTATCATACTAACGACTTTTCTTAAGGTTTCGTTATACCTCTCGCTTGTTCGTCTTGTGTGAATTTCATCTTGTATCGTAGACCACTGTAACCTTTTACTCAAAATGTTAATCAGCTGTCAACAATACACTTGTGCTTGAATAACTTAACAATACGTTTGATTTTTCAAAAATAGTTTACAGGATGGACTAACTTTAGCTAGACAATCAAGAATTACTCAACAACTGTCCTTTCCTAGCACAAGACTGAGCAGTGTTCACCTAGAGTTCTGTTAGAGATAGGACCGTGAAAGTTCCGGCTGTACGTAGTCTTTAGACCGCTAACCGTGTATTAAACAGTACATATCTCTAGTTTCGGGAAAGTAAGAAACTACTAGATTCATTTAGTCTTCGTAATTCATAACTAAGTTGGGAGATTCGCTCATTCTTAGGATGCCAAATTTTGAATACAGGACTACTGGGAAAAAATCTGTATGTCCCAAAAACCTATTGACACACTATTACTCCGGGATAGTATAGTTTCAAAATAACTTTCACTCCGTTCAGTCTTTCTATAACTTATTCTTCAATATGAGATATGTGTCAAAGTTGATCCTTTTTACTGCTGGTTGTTTGCTTATCGATTTAGTTACATGCAGTGAGGCGCATCATAGTATTGGATAAAAGCTACCATTAAAACGGCCATATCTTCGTGATTGCTAACATTATCATTAGATAGGTATCATTACCAAGGTTTGAATTGATAATTTCGAATAAATTGAGCATTGGGTATATTGTTATAAATAAATAATATATTTGTAATATCCCAATGAGTAGAAAAATTAGATTTTCTGACGTTTCGTGACTTAGCGTAAGCCGCTTCTTCAGAGAATAAAGAAATAACCAAATCAAAATTAACTTGGATAAATTTTGATTTGGTTATTTATTTATTCTCTGAAGAAGCGGCTTACGCTAAGTCACGAAACGTCGGAAAATCTAATTTTTCTACTCATTGGGATATTACAAATATTTATTTGTTCTCATTAGATGCGTTATTATTTCTCATTCAGTCAAAGCACAGATCATAGTTCAAGCTCTTATCTAAAAATTAAGTGCGGTATAGAGGACTTTCTGGGTTACCTATTTGTATAATCGTTAGTTGAGATAAATACGTATGAAGCTACCTAAACGATCGCTTCTGTAAACGTCTGTCTTTAAAAGAATAATCACGTTTATTGTTACCTTTTTCAGCGTTGGACCCACTGCATTATTCTTACTAGAAACATCAGAAGCCATCAAGCATGAATTCGACGTTTCATTGCATGGGAGTTTTAACCGAGCAACTGACTACGACCACGTACTACCGATCTACCTTTGTCATGGTGATGTAGTAATAATGGCTGGTAAAAGTCGTCTGGCTCGTCATGCAGTCCCAGTAATTTTCTTCGATGATGATACAGAGGTTGTCTCGAAAGGAGCTCTTCGTGTTAGTCATAATATATGTGACAAAATTTTAAAGCAAGATCATAATAAGGATGCATGTACACATTGTCAAGAGTGTTTGACATATATTAGGACTACACGTATAAATATGAACATACGCCAAGTAATGCCTGTTCATAGATGACGCGAATGTTAATATTGTTTTATTTTTCAATTATTCAGCAAATTTTACTATCGATACTAAACATTTTTAATACTACAATAAAAATACCTTGTCTTTCGACAAGCGTCAACTACTTCTTAAGTCTAGTCTAGCTATTCTGTATCACGTTATTTATTTTATGCTGTGTTTCAAGAGATCACAAGTTCACCTAATCTGCGAACGGGACGAAGACTCAGTGACACAACGAGCAAATAAGTTAACTATTCCGATGCGTCCCAGTCTCACTAACTAGAGAGAAAAGTCCAGGTTCAGAAGAGGGAAATGTATTCCACAAGCAGTCAGAAACCCGAACAACAACCACAAGCACAACTCAAACGTATATATACAGCATAAATATGTCCTTAGGAAACATTACAAAATAAGATATTAAGAGAGACAACAAACCAGTGTGGGAAATGAAGATGAGAATGAGCGCTTCTGGCGCGAAAAAAACTCAAATTACAAAAATAAGATATTTACCACGAGAGTTCTAGGGATCTAACATCGCCAACATTTTGTCAACCTACTGCCCCCAAATGCCCTGATACGGCTGAGAGTCCGCTCTCCCTCTCCAAATGCTCTCACATGGCCACGCGTATATAGCCCCTGCCAAGGAAGTCCTACTCACTGCCTTCACGTGGCGGGGTGTTGTTTACGAAAATGAGAGGACGAAAAGCGAATGTCCGGCGCTTTAACCGGATCCCAAACCAATGCTGCACATGGGCTCCAGTATCCTGAAGGAACAAATGGCGTACGAACCAATCGTTGGTCACCGGCTACCATGGGACTGCATCTCCTAACGATGCTCCACTGCCTTGTGGATCAGACGTTCAGGTCAAAGGCTCGGGGTGTGGCCCCCTAAGGAAACCATCTGCTTCCGTTTGGGCACCCGGGCAGTATCACAGCCCTCACACAAATCAATTGAGATTCGTGTGGCGCATATGTATTCGGTGCCTCCTTGTACCAATACCTATGTGTTAAAATAAAATAATAAAAATAAATGTCAACCCACTGCTTCAATAAACACACTTTTTCGACAAAATGTGTTTTTTGAAATGAATCTCACACATTTTACGGTTTATTTTCCTAGCGTTACTATTCGTATACAGTGGATACCCCAATTCATATCTATTCGATATTAGGTTTGAGTGTAAGCTTATCTACACATAATTATAACAAACTGTGATATAAGCTACTTAGTATTATTTTATGGTGTGTGCTGAACTACTTATGGTTATCAATTGCAAATAGGTTTGGTCGGTTGTTTATTCCCAAAACCTTTACTACAAATCATGTAGTTTGGGATAACTTAGCACAAATATGCAGAATATTACATTGAGGAATTACCAAGACTGAAATAAAATGTGTAAATTTTAATAGTATTATTGTACAGTTTCTGATTAATATACAAGATAAGTTACACAGCTAAAAAATCGGTTCCGAAAAACAATTCCAAACCTTAATAAGTATTATACTCGAAAATAAGGACCATTTGTGGTACGGCTCAGCATAGCTTCATTCTGTATTCTTGATGATGCTTCCGGGGCTAAACGATTTAATAACGGACGAATGGATGGCTCAAGTGCGATTATAGCTCCTGAAATAACAAACAAAAAGTGAAATAGGAATGTGATTAGATAAAAAGTTGTTGCACGAATGGGATTATGTCCGAAACCATAGTTTCATACGATCATTTAACAGTGCAATGTATTTTATTTATTACATTTAAGTCTTTTGATATTATATGTTAACTAGACATAGTTGTTTTTCAACTGATTTAGAATAGCTTACACCAGATAACCTTTGAGCAAGAATCGTGAAGCTTTTGGGACACACAACTTGTATAGATAACAAGTAACAAACTGATGTCGCGTTTTGTTTAGATCATCACCCGTCTAACATAAACCCAGTAATTTAGGTGGTATATTCTGACATTATGGTACCAAAACTCAACTTATTTGCTCTGCCTACACAGAGTACAAAAACGAAGCCTTTGTACTAGCCGAATACTATCGATACCTCGGGAGATACAGGTAACCAAACATCCTCTATTCATTTTTGTCACTCTAGTTCCATGACAAAGCATTGCGTTGCACACTTAGTTATCGACAGCCCGGTTAACATCAATTGACTGATTCATATTTACACCTCGATCGCTTCAGTAACTAGCGCAAAAGAGATAATGGGGAAGTCTGTAGTTTGTTGGCCATAAATAACATCCTAAGGGCCCCCGAATGCCCTGGTACAACTACGTATGGGACTGCATCTCCTTACGATGCTCCACTGCCTTGTGGATCAGACTTTCAGGTCGAAGGCTCCGGGTGTGGCCCCCTAAGAAAACCTCCTGCGTCGGTTTGGGCACCCGGGCAGTATCACAGCCTTCACACATATCAAATGATATATGTGTGGCGCATATTTGGTGCTTCCTTGTACCAATACCTATGTGCTAAAATAAAAATAAATAAAATAAACGTATAGTGAAAGCCAGCTAGTACTATTTAAACTTGGATTAATTTTAATTTGGTTGTTTATTCTCTGAAGAAGTGACTTAAATTAAGTCACGAAACGTCAGAAAACCTAATTTTCTACTCATTGGGATGTTACAAATATATTATTTATTTAAAACCACCTTCGGTTTGAGCATCCAGGTAGTATCACAGTCCTCACACAAATCAATGATAACTACTACTGGTCTTAGCGTTCTTGTGTGGCACATATCTATTTGGTGCCCTCTTGTACAAATGTTTATGTTGAAATAAATAAATAAGTGACAACCTTCTAATAATGAGTCATGTGAGATAGAACCTTTAAGCATATTTACCATCATTTGAGGTGCTACCAAACGTAATATAATCACTAAGTAGACTTAACTGGTGTTATACAAAAAGTAAAATGAGACGGTTGGAATATGCTAACCCAACCTGGTCCTGTTTACTAGAGTGGGTTCAAGTTAGGCGAGATAAGAAAGGTGAGCAGATCGAAACTTACTACTGACGTTGAGACTTAGTATGAACTGCGTAGGCTATAGCGTTTCTTGGTGACAGTACAAGTGGTATAATACTTCAGTATTTGCGGACGACGGACTCCATGGTTCAAACTTAGTCGAGACGATGCAAATGTTTAACACTTTCTTAGCATATAGTAGTGCTGTTCTCAAGATCTAGACGAAGACAAAGAATCAATATGCTCATTACGTTGTTATCAATTCTAAGCCACTCATTGTATGCAGTTTTTTCAATCTTAATGTTATTAAATGCCAACGCTTCTTCATATGGCTCGTTAAATATTAAACATCATTTTTCTCTATTGTAAACTCACCTATATTGCATTCACTGGAGCCAACAACCGTCAGGAATAATGGCAAAGCTGATTGGCAAGTAAAATGAAACTGGCAGATCTAAAAATCGGGAAGTATTGATTACATACTAGCAAACGTGACATTTTAGACTATCAAAGTTGCGGTATTATTTTTTAACACACAAATGGACTAATTAGTGTAGCAGTTTTGTCTTAACGACGTTATGCAAATGTGAATCCCGACACAGCTTACTAGTCCCTGTGACTAGTGCGTCACACTGTGACAGTATGCGTGAGCATGTTTGCAACCGGTTATTAAGCGGTCAAGTAACCAAGAAAGATGTTATTTCTCAGAGTGCAATGGGCGAAACACATGCACACGTCATCGTTAATTGATGTTTAGCAATAATTCTATACTTCAGTGATAAAGTGGATCTGTAGTCCAACTAATAAGACTATTATATTATGAGTGACCATCATTTACTGATATAATAATGCCTCTGATTTTAGATCTAACTTCACTTCATTTGAGCAGATGAGCAACAGGGTTGTCGTGTGAAAAGGCTTAAAGTCAGACAATTCGGAAATGCAATTAAGTAAACAGATCTTTTTTTCTCAAAAGATTTATATGCTTTGAATTGGGCTCCCAAACAGTAGCTCGACCCTAACAAAAAGCTATGATTTTGTGTGGTACACACTGTCCTGATCCCCATTTGTATCAGATTTTCCGTGAGTCAAACTATGTATATATATATCTTTCATACAAACTTTGACAAGATCTATATATGCGTTTAGTGACGCAATGCACGTCCTAGATACACCAATACGCATTACATGAAACTTCCAAACTGGGTCTAATTGAATAGCCAAATTTCTCCAGTAGACATACCACCATCTCTTGATAACTAGTGATCATCCATTCTAAATCTCCAAGATCTAGTTTGTTTACTTGTTGTAATGATACGATAAAACCAGCAGTAACATATGGCGAGCGCGCTTGATCAGGCATATCGTCCATTGTGGCTAAGACATAATATTGATGATAAAATTAGGTTTACCACTTGCAACAACGACTCCGTCTTTATCTGCAACAAAGATACCGAGGATGCCATCAACTCTATTTATATGGTCAAATAAACAAAAAACTCACTCAGACAGGAATCTCTTAAGATAGTCACAAGCAGACTATTGGATTAGATTAGAAGAGAGTCACTAACTTACCTCAGACATCTGCGACGTTGAAACTACTTTCTGTTGTTTTCAGCGGTGAGAGATACTGTGGGGCGAGTTATGCTTGGAAATTTATACACACCGGGACGTACCGTACTCTCTGTGTTTCGCGCTATTGAAAAGGCTGATGTTCAAATGGTTGTGGAAGGAATAAAAGAAGCTTTCGCTTAGCGAGCTTCCGTGTCTAGTAGCAGTGGATCATCGATACACAGCTAAAGATAACTTACCACTAAATACATTGACTAGTTGAAATACTGTCTCTAATTCGCTTGCTCCTTCAAATGTTCTATAGTTCGAATGAATGTGAAAATGACCTGAATGGTTACCAACGTCCAAGAGAAGTAAGAATTTTACAAGCTCAGATGACATATACTCATTACATTCACCAACGGAGTAAAATAAATTGGGGTGAACTCTAGAGGCATTCATTTGTTGCTTCCAAATTTACAATCGTGTTAAGAAAACGCACAAGTTACAGGACTTCTTAAGGAACCGTTCGAATATTTGTGTGCGAAGAGTCCAAGTATCATTGTCATCAAGCTACGTTCTGAGTAGCCTTGGGTATTAAGTAAATCTCCAGCCATTATTTCAATGAGCTGACGATTTATTGGTCCAGTGCAACCATCACGAAGACGGCACCACGGATTTTCTGCACTTATACATGGGGATGTCTGTATTTTCGATGGTGATTTTATGGCTTGAGCACACTGTGGACACCTCCTGACCAAACTTTCAATGTCCTTATCAATTAATGCCCAGTATATGTAGCTGAGTAAGAGTGACTTGATGTGCTACATACCAGGGTGATTTGAATGGAGTTTTTTCAACACTACATAAGGGTGTGGCCAGGATGACCAGACGTTCCTTATTCATCAAACATGAAATTACAAGATACGATGCGTTACTTCGTTGGAAATACCTTATCAAATCAACATCAACTTGGTTTGTTCAGGCATTGAACATTTAATTCACGACCTGCTGAAGTTAATAATCCGATTTATAATCTGCTCCCAGCCATTACAAGATTGCTGCCAATCATCAGACAACCATATTGTTAAGTGAAGTAATTAGAGGTGAATTCCATGAAGATAAAGAACTAGTGAAGAATTAAGATGGCCAGCAAGTCACCGAGATTGTAAAACAAAAAAAAAGTGTTCAGAGCGCTTTTTAGGATAGGTCAATCTCACCGAATTCATCGAACATGGAAGCAAAACAGCATACCAGTAACAAAAGTAGTACCAGTATCAAATGTGATAAGAAAGACTAGGCATCCAAGATACGACCCCAAACGAAAACAAGTTAGTGAGACAAGCACAAAAATGTTATGAGGGTATTAGAATCTCAGGATTTGTGGGAAGACAAAGAATGGATGCACGTGCGCCATTGCGAACGATTTTGATTCGTGTCATTCAAAGTCTCTAACCGTTAGCTACGATAATCACTGGGATCCCAACTCGATAGTCCATACCCATTACTATGGCTATGTCCAGTTTTCAGTGACTCCACGAATTGATGCCGTGTTTTGTTGTGGTCGCCCCTAACAGTTTAGCATATCATTCAGCACATGGCTACTGCTCCAGTATTTTCTGAAACACACATAAGCGTAAGCACTCTATCAAGCTAGGTTGTTGGTCGCCGGGGTCACTCTCGCTAGTGAGCAGCACTACGCGGAGGCATTAAATCTTATTTCGCTGAGCTACCGGCCATATATTGTTTGACCTTGATCACAACCACAGGTTTAAAGTTTTTGTGGTTGGTGATCTCTTCCTCTGCGAATAAGGCGTGGCGGCGGAAGTATATTAAACCTCTCAAGAATAAATGTCTCCTAAAAATTTGGAACTCTACATGGTATGGATTGACAGTTTACAAGGATAATTCATATTTATGCATGCTCTATGTAGCCAAAATAGAATTCAAGATGTGTTTATAACTGTTAACTTAATAAAATTTCAATAAGTATATTCTCCCTGTATAACGCTTTGAAAGTCTTACTCCTATAAACAGCGTTTCCAACTATGGGCGTCATGTATTTTGTTAGTTAATCTTTATACCGCTTGCTTAGTTCCATTTCGAACGTTTTCATAAGCCTTTTTTACCTTCAGTGTAGACAATATTTAGATATCTCGGTTTTTGATACTAAAGCTTTAGTTGGTTTTGATTTATGAAGTGGAATCACGCTGATATTGGCGCTAAGAGTAGATAGTATTAAAATATCTCGGTTTTTCATACTCCACGAACCATAGTTAGCTTTAATATCTAAAGTGGCATCACGCTAGCATTAGCTTTAAATTGTTTTAGATATTCATTCGCAGCATTTCGCCTACTGACTCTAAAATCAGCTTCTAGTATCTCAACCTCTGAATTTATATTGTTAAAAATAACGCTTGTTTAGCAGCCTTTGGCTTTTAATTCGATGGATCCCCCAAATCATATAGCTCGTTAGATTTGACCTAGAATGCAAGGCAGAAATGGTCCTCTTTCTGCAATTTTCTGTTGGCGAAATCTAGAAAAACCTACGAATTTATTTTACATCATTACCTTATCACTTTCTATCGCTATTCACCATCTCGTAAATAATTTTGTATCGTATTATTTCACATGACATAGCTCTTGGTGTTCGTGAAATAAAAACCATACTCATTAAGCAAAGTACTTAACAGATCTCTTTTAATTCAGAAGAAACGTCAGCTATTTAGTTAGAACAATAATTTCGAATGTACTATGCTCTAGCTTTTTGATATTCCAAATAGCGTGATTAAAAATCTTAATTATTTAGTTATCATGTCAATGCCATTTTCTGCATAGATCGCTCAACATACTAACTTATTTCGTAAACTGTTTTACGGTTCCTAATTCCCCATTGTTAACTCTAAATTCCTGTCTGTGTTCATGATAAAATAAATTCATATTTTACACCTATTTCATATTTCATCCCTTTATTCTCCCTCTGTCAGATATCCACATTAAAGAAGTTCTGTTGTAATCAAACTAATGAGTTCCGGATTTACATGCAAACAAAACGAGATAAAAAAAACTAATCAAATATCAAGCTTTTAATAACAAAATCTAACTTTTGGTAAATGTAAGTTCACGCCAAACTACGTATGCAAATATATTTTTAAGGTCGTATGGAGTATGCATTAAATTATATCAGTTCACTTGCTTTTGGATTATCACTTTCATTCATTTTATTGTTATGTTTCTGTTGGAATAGAAAACAAAGGTAAGCAAGTGTTTACTTAAAAAAGCAAATAAATATTTACATTTTCTTTAGTTTAACTCAAAAAAGACACAATATTAGTACTGATAACAGTGTTACTTCCTGCCAAGTAAGTATGTATTACAAATATCGACTTACTGTTTAAGTACTCCTATACTCCTTATTTATTTATTTATTTGAACACATGAATATTGGTACAAAGGAGCACCGAATACAGATGCGCCACACAAGTCGATTGATTTTTATGTGGGCTGTGATACTGCCCGAGTGCTCAGATCGAAGCATGTGGTTTTCTTAGAGGGCCATGCCCAGAGCCTTCGACCAAAAGGTCTGATCCACAAGGCAGTGAAGCAACGTCAGGAAGTGCAGTACCATGGTAGCCAGTGACCAATAATTAGTTCGTACTCCATTTGTTCCTTCAGGATCCTGTAGCCTATGTGCGTCATTGGTTTGGAATCAGGGCTTTCGACCCCTCTAGTTGATCCCTTCGTGTCCATCAACCCAGATAAAGAACCGGACATTCGCTATTCGTCCTTTCTATTTCGTAACCAACACCCCCGCCGCGAGAAGGCAGTGAGTAGGAATTCCTTGGTAGTTGCTTCATACGCGTGGCCGTGTGAGAGCATTTCAATAAGGAGAGCTGACCCTCCCCTCCCTCGGCCGCACCAAGGCATTCGGGGCCCCCGTACTCCTATTTATTGCAATAAAAACAACATTTTAGTTCTCATTTCCTTTAGCGTTCTTAGCTTTTATTTTGATGTACTTCTGGGGGTGATTCTGTTTAAAACATTTAGCTTTCATCAAGTAAGTCTCGGGTTCTGTTTATACATCCAAGCACTATCACCATTCATAATACAATCAACGTATAGTTCGAAGTCTAGTAACTAGATTTCAACCTAGTAAATAAGTTAGTTGTACTAGGCTTGTTTTAACATGTGATTGTGTTTGAACACTTATTTTAATAAAATATCAAATTTAGGGATAGTTTGTCATAATGATACAAATGACTCCTTATAATGCTTGAGTAAGTTACCCAAACTAGTATTTACCTCAAGAAATGGTGTCCAAATTCCAACCGAATTTACTTGAGAGAATAAAACTATTGAGTGGCTAAATATATGTTAAGGAATAAAAACTATGAGATGGTGGAGAAGATTTGTAGCTCAGGTGGATGATTTTGATGGAGTTTTGTTCTCTGAGCTGGAACAAAACTCCATCAAAATAAAAACTATTTTACAAAATTTCAATCAATACAGCATTACTTACCAGATAACAAATGGTTAACCAGAGATAGAAATAAAGGTCAAGAAGTAAATAATAATACCTTAACTGTGGATAATTATTGCGTTACATCGCAAGTCGATCAGAGCTGAAACTATCAACCACTGGATCCCAAAACAGCGATGTAAAAGTAGGTTAATCGTTTCGATTATTGGCGCGGTCGCGAGTGAGCATTCGTAAAGTCTCAAGCTGAAATGTAACACCTTTTCGATCCTCTCTGATCTTTATCGGTATCCCTAACTTAAATCAGTTCTAAAATTAAATCAAACAGCTCAACTCCATTGATGTTCCGTTTGATATGTTCGGAGAGATTGACCTGTGATTAATCAATAACTAAAAACGGACATGTCGAACTACATTAAGTATAAGAGACTGTCATGTTGTAAAATTCATTCCACTTCCTGACTCCTTTGTGATTCGTGTTGACATCCTCTTGTTCTGACCTACTTCTTGTTATCAATCGAAGGGATGGATATTTGAGTCTATTATATCTCTAGATCAAGTATTATCTAGTATTTAGTAGTAGTACAATGTACAGTACAATTCTTTGTATGTTATAACACTTTATTCTGTAAATCTACAATACTAGAAAGCTAGTCTACTGTTACGGAGGAAGTTTTCTGTGGTCTAATTAAACGAGAATTTTGGTTAAGAGAATGCTATTCGATAGGTTGATCGGTCAGTCAGTTACACCGTAAAACCTGTACTTATGTACATCGGTTCAATTTGCCATACCCCATTAGCACAGAGAGGTGAATTTATTGGGCCAAATCCCAGGATAGTTGGGTAGTAACAGTATCAAATGTGATAAGAAAGATTAGGCATCCAAGATACGACCCCAAACGAAAACAAGTTAGTGAGACAAGCACAAAAAAAGTTATGAGGGTATTAGAATCTCAGGATTTGTGGGAAGACAAAGAATGGATGCACGTGCGCCATTGCGAACGATTTTGATTCGTGTCATTCAAAGTCTCTAACCGTTAGCTACGATAATCACTGGGATCCCAACTCGATAGTCCATACCCATTACTATGGCTATGTCCAGTTTTCAGTGACTTCAAGAATTGATGCCGTGTTTTAGTGTGGCCGCCACCGACATTTTCGCATCCCTTCTGTGTACTAGAAAGCATTTCCCGTCGAGTTAAGCGGAGATTTGGCACACGCGGCACATTTCGAAACCACTTCAGTTGATGAAGTTTTACTATCTTTGCCTAGTACTCTATTCCTAACCCAGGCATAATTAATTCCTAAAATACAAGAGATGTGTTTCGTAGACACCGATGGCCGAATACCAGTAAGCTACGAATATCGCCTACTCTTAATGGTCGTGTTCCACGTTTATAAAGTGGGACGAAACGTACTGCCGCTCAGTAAATTCGCCCATTGGTTGGAAGACGGGTATCTCACCAACATCATGAGTGGCGCATGTTGGCAAAAGTCAATCGAGCCTTCTGAATCCGCGCCGAGATTTAGTTATACTTCAGACCATCAGCACTGATGAGACTCCCGGGATAAAAGAGGTGGTTGGTGCGTCCAACTACTTCACTCCTTATCACTTATTTAGGTGGTAACAAAAGCCAACCCTTAAGTAACATTTTATATATGGAGGGAAAGAACCGCGAACGTCCGGCGCTATAACCGGATCCCAATTCTATGGTGCACATGGGCTCCAGTATCCTGAAGGAACAAATGGCGTATGAACCAACTTTTGGTCACCGGCTTCCATGGGACGGCATCTCCTCACGATGCTCCACTGCCTTGTGGGTTAGACATTTAGGTCAAAGGCTCGGGGTGTGGCCCCCTAAGAAAACCACCTGCTTCGGTCTGGGCACCCGGGCAGTATCTCAGCCCACACACTAAAACTATGATGAGTGTGGCGCATATATATTTGGTGCCCCCCTGTACCAATATTCATGTGTTCAAATAAATAAAAATAAAATAATGGGAAAGAACCGCATCCCAGACATGCTAGGAGTTTTGCTTAAGGTGGTCAGAAAGCTGCATTTTGTCAGCGTTTTCACTAAACAACACTATATCATCTGCGTATTCTAATTCAACAAGTGAATTTCCTGGTAGTAGACGAACTCCTGAATAGTCATAACGAAAGTGTTATCTTCAAGAGCATGTTCATGACAAAGTCAAACAAAAATAGAGAAAGCGGAACAACCCTGACGACCACCACTTGAAGTAACTTGCCTCTGTGACAGTTTGCCGTAAGTTCTGACTCGACCAGATGTGTGTTCTTGTAGAACCTGTACAAGGTTGATGTACCTCTGTGACAAACTTCAATGACAAGCACTGCCATTAAACCTTATGATCAATGGAGTCGAACGCTGCCTTAAGGTCATGGAATACAATTATAGTAGGACGTCAAAAAATATGCTTATGTTCCAGGATCTGCCGAAGGGTAAATGTTCGGTCTACACATCCACACCCAGGTCTGAAACCAGCCGTTTTCTTAGACTTGCTCGTCATGAGCTCTAGCCAGACGTCAAAATATTATTGAGGCTAATATTTTAGACACTATATTAGTAAAACTGGTTCATCTGTTGTTGGAACGAGTTGACTTTTGTCTTTCTTATAGACTAGGACGATCAGCAATCGAGAACATTCAGATGGGATTACGTTCAGTTCCCAGATTCTAACGAAGATCTCAATTAATTTAACTGGTAAAACTGAACAACCATCCTTAAAAAAATTTAGGGGTTAGTCCATCCATCCCTCGCTTTAGATTACCTATAACATTTTCAACCTCATTAAGAGTTGAAGGACTTATATCAGTTTGCCGTCCAGGTTACTTGGAGATATTGGGTAACTGAGGTGTGGTTGAAGGCAAGCTGAACTATTCCTTAAAGTGTTCTGTCCATCGGTTCAGTCCCTTGGATTGTGAGTGAATAATAGTCTTGTCTTTTTCCGAGATAGTTTCACTAACAACCGAATTTTCAATACCGGTTCCCTTGATAAGTCTGAACAGCTGTCTACTGTTACCTATCGCTGTTGTCTTTTCCATCTCTGCTTTCGTTTCCCACCACTGCTCACGATCATTGCGTAGGCTTTTGATTAACCTACATTTAGGCTGCCTTCACTCCTCATTGCGTTCAAAGCCAGACGGGATGTTTCCGAGCAATTATCAGTTCTGTAGACGGTACTGAAATCTACTTATTTTTCCTGAATTTTTTCTGTTTCTATGGCTTTCCTGATATTATACCAACTTGGTGTTAGTGTTAGTCTTTTCCAGGAATAGACGGTTATCTGAGCATAATCGCAACAGACGGTTGCTATTATCTATTCACTGAGAGGAAACACCATAAGATCTGACTAAGTGACTTTCGGTTTGGTTTTGTTTGCTCGAGAATTAAATTAACCCGCCACTATTACTACATCAGAGCATTTAGCTTCTTGGAGGCTGGATAGCTTCCTATAAAATTCATCTTTAACTTCGTCCGAGCTACAATCAGGTGTATAAGCAGAGACAACGAAAAGATAACGGCGAGTGCCCTTGTCTTTCTGAGTTCTGATTGTTCCGTTTAGTCAAACAGCATATAAGCAACTGTCTACTGGGATCCAGTCTAGGAGAGCCTGTTCTGCCTTAGAATTTATTGCTATATCACAGGAAGTAGCAATGAGATCCCCAGATACTTGAAGGATAAATCGTACTAGTTCTTTATATTGACGACGTGATGTCAAGTGAATGGCCGTACCTGGATCCTGTCTGAATGTTTCGGAGACTCACCATACATCGAGGGTGCGAGAAGCCTATTGTCCTATCCCACACAAGGTTCGAACATTAAAAGCTGCAATATGTAATTTAGAGTGTTGTTTCAGGAGACCAGGAATAACTTTTCGTGGATTCAAACCATTAGCATTGGTGGCGCCTGGTGATAAAAAATATGTGAGAAGGGATAATCGTGGGAATGGAAGAATTATTAAGAGCTGAGGGAAGGATTCAGTGATCAACAAGATGACTTCGCGTGCTGGTAGAGGCATGAGGGTGGTTGTCACTTCCCGGCTACCCACACCATGAAAGGATATTCCTTCTTGAGAGACCTGAAGAGGGTGCTGAACTATTGGTGGTCTCAGTGACCTGGAAGCGTGACTGTGGAATCAAAGGGACAAATATTTGAGGCTGGTCGCGCAAGTCCTTTTATAGGAAGTTTTTGACGAGTTCATTACGCACTTCAAAAATTCAAGACAGTTCTAGTGTACGAAACTGAAAATTGACGAACTACTACAGTTATTTATAAACAATTTTGTGTGCAAAATATCAATTTCCGTTGGCCGGATATCATCAACAACAACCTACTGTGAGAAAAAAAGCAACTTCCAACTGGAGAGGAAATTAGGAACAGATGCTGGAGTTGGATAGGACATACATTACGGAAATCATCGAACCGCATCACAAGGCAAGCCCTAACTTGGAATCCTGAAGGCAAAGGAAACAGAGAACGACCATGAAATACATTGCGTCGAGAATTAGATCGAGACACGAGAAGGATGAACAGCACTCGGAAACAACTGGAAAGGAGAGGTCGGGGCAGAGTTGGTTAGAGAATGCCGGTGGGCGGTCTTTGCTCCTCCACGAGGGGTAATAAGCTTAAGTAAGTAACATACAAATTTTGAACACAAAACAAACATGACGAAATTTCATAGGCTATTCGAGGAAATTGGTTTGTTGTTCACCCGTTTTTCAATCAATAAAGACGTGATTGTTAGGCATAAACATTTTACATTGTATCATTCACACTGCTCGAACCAATAGCTAATGGTTTAACCCATCAATGTTATTTATTATTTTGGGTATCGTAAACTTTTTTAAAATGCAGTATGGTGTTAAACTATACGATATCCTGTTTAGGCAGTAATTCGATATTCGTAATTAATATGCACACTTTTAATTACTGGAATATCATAAATTCGTCACAAAATCTCCCATATTTTCCTAGCACTTCAAGTCTAACATCATCATTCCTTCATTCATAATTCTGACATTATTTTCTAAGAGACTTGGGATTTAAAAAAATGCTTAAAACCTACCACTATTTCATATTCCTCTCTATCATGTTTGTCTAATAACCTAACTGTAAATGTTTTAACTATTCCTTTAAACTACTCAAATTTGAAGATAAGTTCATTGAACTTTTCCCAATCATCTTTAAGTGCTGATTTTTGAAATTAAATTAGTATCTATACTCGTTAACTTTGTATGAAGTATACTGGTTATTTTTTCTATTTTAGAAAATCACTTATACTCACCATAAATATTTCACAGTTAAATTCATTCGACCGCATAAATGTGTGCTTAATACTGTCGCCAATACTGTCACTACTGCTGTCGAAACTAAAACTATCACTACTACGAAGGTTAACATCAATCATGGTACCACCAATGATGTATTAATTAAAAATTTTAATTTATTCGTCAATGAAGATGATTTGGCTTATGCTACCACAATTGGACTAAATACAAATATGAATAGTACGGATATTATATCTCCTAGTAGTTATCCATTACTACAGTATGTGTTTATAGTTCCTTTGCTCGTATCCTGTTCAGTTTTTCTATTATTATTATTATTTATTTATTTATTTATTATTATTATTACTATTAAAGTGCTTGAAAGCTACCTGGATGAAGTTTAGCATATAGTTGACTGATTCAAAATCATTTGGAGGGGGCGTAGATACATTCACTTGTTATTTTACCCTTAATCATAAATTCTAATATTCCTTCATACATTATCGTCTTTCCAACCATATTCTCCAGTGTTTAACATTTTTTTTTCTATTTTTTGTTACCACTATTATTTTTACTGATTTGCTATTCATCTTGCTAGTTTGATCTCATCATCCTAAGTAGATATAGCAGTTTGGGCTAAAGCATATTTGTGCTAGGTTCTAGATTGATTTTAATTGGCTAACTAACCTTTATGTAACTATATATATATAAGCTTTGTTTTTGAATCTTCTTCATAGTGATAAATAATTAAGTACAATATTCATTATCACTTACAAATTCGCTTAAGATCTAGTAACATGGCTTTATACGACAATAGTATGGCGAAGTTATGCGTAAAATTCATTACAAATTTGAACATTCCTACTTCATAACTTTGGAGATTATTCGGTAAATCACCAATAAAATAAATATTTTTCAAGTTTACAATCAACATGGTACATCGAAACAAAAATTGATTAATTGATGTACTATGTAAAATCAGAATGTAAGAAAGTGATTAGACAATACGCTTAACATCATCATTTTACTCTAGAATAACAGTAATAAATATTTCTTAACACTTTTAAATAAGGTTTTCTATTGTGCAATTTATGAGACAAAAGATAAAAATCATTCGATTTTTTTTTTTCAATTTCGTACAGACACTCGAAAGTAGTTTTCTCGATTATGATCAAATGGTCTGTATACTGTAGTTTTTTTTTACTCGAAGCCAATATCCTTAAATTGAATATACTTTCCTTTAATTTAACTTATTTCTTAAGAAAAAGAAGGCATTACTGCCCATAGATTTTCTGAAACTTATTACCATAATCTGTTCTCATGAAATTATAGTTGTTATATGGTATAGAATTGTTAGTGGTTCAGACTCTACGTTGATGACTACCTAGAGCATTCGTTGTAGCTTCGTTTCCTGATGTCTAACACCTTGGTATTTGAATAACGTATTGTTAGATTAGATTCAAGTATTGGTGTGTGTGTGTGTGTGTGTGTGAGCACCAACGTTAGGTTACTACGGGTACTACATCCAACTAATGAGTCCTAAGTGATACGAAAAACAATTCCTGTAGTCTGGTAATTTCTTTCTTGTATAAATAAATGCCGTTACTTTCAAACCACTAAACTGGTATCCAATGGTTCGCATTTTTAACATTTAGTCGACTCATGATATTTTGCAGCGATCAGAAGTTATCGTCAGTGATAACTATCTCACGTACAAAATCAATTCGAAACATCTATAAAATTTCGGAAAAAAATGATCCAAATCTTGAAATAGGTATAAAATTTTCTTCTTATTTTTTTAAATAATCCTTTGAACAAAGAATTTGAAAGAAAAGAAAACAAAAAAAACATCAGGAAATGTTGAAGAAATTAGTTACCACAATGATCTCATCGAGTTTAAACAAGAAAAATATCAGTGAATTATCTAACATACAATCGTCTTATTATCATGTTTAACATTTTTTGGTTGTTGTCATGTGATTGGTTTTCATTATCAATAAATATTTACCCGTTTAATAGATAATATATTTAATAAATGAGTAATTTTTTGTTTTACATTTAAATTAATAATAATAATAATAATAATCAAGGTGAAATTCTTTTGTTTATTAACTATTGTTGGAAGTGATTACATTCTTGAAAGTTAAACTACCATAAAATCATTGATGCATTAAACTCAATAATTTACAAATTCTGCCAAAAATAAAAGAACAAACTGTGGTGGTGAACTAAATTTGAATTGAACTGTCTGAAGTTCAGTTACACTATGTCGGATAACTTCATTCCTTCAAATAATAACAATGATGATATTACTGTTCTGATATGTGATAGTGAACTGATATCTAATAAGATTATTGTGTTTCGACAACTTTGAACTTTGATCAGCAAACGTTACATCGTTGAATTAGATAATATTACAATGAAAATATTTAAACATTGTAGCTTTCAAATTCTGTGAGATTTTAATTCACATCAAAATCGTGCAACAATTTAATGATATTTTAATAATTTTCCTCGGTGTTTGTAATGCATGAAACAAATCTGTGAATATGACTGTGTTTAGATTGCATAGTCGAGATTTCAACGGTCATCTAGTTTATAACAAATTTTCCCATACTATATATACCATATATGATACCTTTAAAGGCTTCCAAGAGTTTCACATCTTCCTTTTTTTCTTGTCGTTAAATGCTATATATGACCTGTTTCTGTTCCTAGCCTATTTGGAACAACTAACTGAAACCTAAAGGAAATCTTCCAAACAAAGTGATTATTTCTCGATACTCACTTAGGTTATAAGTCTTGTGTGCAGAATCAATATATGGTACTTCTAGAAATGCATGATATATTGCAATTTCATCTCGAAGACTGAAGTAAAATATTGAATTATTGCTGTTTTCATAAAAGACTATAGCTTCATTATTTATTTATTATTTATTTATTTTAACACATAAGTATAGGTACAGGGAGGCACCAAATACATATGCGCCACACAAATCTCAATTGATTTGTGTGAGGGCTGTGATACTGCCCGGGTGCCCAAACCGAAGCAGGTGGTTTACTTAGACGGCCACACCCCGAGCCTTTGACCTGAACGTCTGACCCACAAGGCAGTGGAGCATCGTAAGGAGATGCAGTCCCATGGTAGCCGGTGACCAACGATTGGTTCATACGCCATTTGTTCCCGCAGGATACTGGAGCCCATGTGCACCATTGGTTTGGGGTCCGGTTAAAGCGCCAGACATTCGCTTTTCGTCCTCGCACTTTTGTAAACAACACCCCCGCCACGAGAAGGCAGTGAGTAGGACTTCCCTGGCAGAGGCTATATACGCATGGCCATGTGAGAGCATTTCGAGAGGGAGAGCGGACTCTCCCCACTCTCGGCCGTACCAGGGCATTTGGGGGCAAAGTTGAACTGAACACGCTGCATAATTTTGTTCGCATTTTTAGTGTCTAAATTTAATTAGATTGCATGTAGATTTTACAACCTGGTTATTGTTACGATCGTGTTTCAGCCACGTCATCAACTTATGAGCTGCTTACAGAATTTCAAAAACATGTGTGTTATTGTTCAAAAAAGGTCTCAAATAAACCCACTCACTAGACATTAACTGTTGTCTCAAAGGGTCTATAGGAACATACCCTTATGTACATAGTTGTGAATGGTTTTAATGGAGGTGATTTTTAGTTCACCATGTACTGCATGGATCTAAAATCCAGATTGTGGTAGGAAAATTTAGACCTATAGCATAAATGTAATTAAAATAAAGCATATATGAATGACTGCTGTCATATTCTTTGTCTATGGTATGGTGGTATGTTGAATATTGTACGATCTTCCAACGGGTGCTTATCAATACTACCATTTACATTCTGAGGTCTTGATGCTTTGTGCCAACGTTTATATGTACAAACATAGCCGACAAAACTGAATCAGGATCGTATTTTTGCACATTGGTATGACATATTTAGTATGCTCTTACTGCATAAAAAATTATTGAACATTAAAGTATCATTGCCTTATACATCTCTTTCAGACACAACTCGAACTTAGCGCAACTGGTAAATCGTCAAGAGAGCATAATCTTATTAAATATCAGTCCAGTATCATGTATCAGAACAGTAACGTCACTGTCATTATTTGAAAGAATGAAGTTATCCGACATAGTGTAACTGCACTTCAGACAGTTAAATTAGAATTTAGTTCACCACCACAGTTTGTTCTTTTTTTGGCAGAATTTGTAAATTATTGAGTTTAATGCATCAATGATTTTATGATTGTTTAACCTTCATGGACTCAGTCATTTCCAACACTAATCGATTCCATTGTGTGTTTGCTGACCTAATAACCATGGAATTTGATTGGCTCAAAATATTAAATACTGATATTGATTACTGATGTAATGCATGTGAAGTTGTGTACTTTTATTGTTTTCTTTTTAATGATAAATTCACTGATTGAAGCAATTAATTTTCAACCGTCCGATTTAAACTTGATTCCATTTCTTGCTATCTACATAATCAGGTAGTATTATTGCGTGTCATCACATACTAACAGTAGATCAAAACTGAGTCTATAACAGTTTACTAGCTTCATGTGTTGCATTAGAGATTTAATAGTACTTTTATCGTCATCAGTAGTAACTTGTGGTAGGGTGCAATGATAATGATTATACATCAGTTCGTCATTAGATCAATAACTCTAGCCATTCGAACAAACAATCTAACAAAATAATCGTCAAATTCGTCAGTCAAGCAGGAGTCAGAAATTCAACTAATTAATTGATGGAATAATAAACCACGGCTCTGGGTCGGAGTTCCGCGCCAGACTGTGGATGAGCATTGTTTTAGAGTCCCATAGTTTGACGGGATGCCCTACGAATGCTTTTAGGTTTTTAATGCTGACCTCACTTATATCGGTTCATGTTTTCAATAAAATTCAATAATCTTCACACCCTCATATTTAAGAAAATTCGATAATATATTTTCAAAATAGAATTTATTTCTAATCACTCATTTTTCATGCTTTTTATTTAGTCAAGACAGTAATACACATAGGAATTGTGAACTCCCACCAGTACCGACATATTTCGATGCTGCATTTACTGAGGTAAGTTAGTGCTTTAATGATATACATCGGATTTTTTTTCGTAGTAGCATTTAATAGTGTGGACTTCTAATCATAATTATTCTGAGAACTCTTATCCCATGTTTACCGATCAGTACAGGAAAAAGTAGGACAATATCACAAACGAGTTTATGTCCTTCTCTTGTAAGGGATATTTTTTCAGATTACTGGACACTGTTCATCAGACGCCTGCTACTAACCAACAGAATGGTAGACAGTACGAATATTGGTACAAAAACTAGGGTATAGAAAGTAAAATATGAGCAATGCCGGATAGATGGTACTCGACTAGTGAGCGGCAAATTTTTATGGGTTGTGAGATGGTGGAGAATGGGTTATCAATAGGCTGATTGTCCACCTAGATAAAACCACTTTATTCCACACAGCCTTGGTTTCTTCTTTGGATAAACATTTGGTTGAGCATTAGGAAAGTGACGATGACTGAATCGACAGTAGAACACAAAATAAAGTCAAAGCAAGGTTTATACTACTAAAAAAGTCATTTGTAGTTTCAAAAAAGTGATTGTTAGCATAGGCTTAATATTTTTAATGGTAGTCATATCCTCTTCACACAGCTATAGCATAATGTAGTAGTGCAGCAGGAAAGTTGATATCCTCGAGTATAGTTTGGGAGAGCAATCTTTTTTCGATTCACTGACCTAACTGTACTCTCTGTATATGTAAATCTCAAAGAACTAATTAGAGTATATGTAGATGAAGGAATCGTAGAAAGACTACGATACGGAACTGGAAACCAACTCTAAGGGTTACTTACTATCAGTGTGTAAAAGTTTTTAACCTGAAGTTCATAAACCAAGAGAGTAAATACATCGTTATGAAATACGTGAATTACTCTTGGAGTTTATTGATGAACAGTAGAAATATTGGAATAACCTGAAAGTTGATCACAAATATTATGATTTCCCCTAATCTAGAAGCACATATTTCTACACTTGTTTCAAGTCGAGAATCACAGACCAAACCATAATAACCTAGCTAAATATAGTCAATAAAATGCATATTAAAGGAGTCATAAATAATAGTAGTGAAAAAGATTAAATGTAAAGAATATGGTTTAAGAAGGATGACTAATTTTTACGTGATGGAAAGTATGAAATAGTGTTGTAAAACTCAAAATTCATAGAATGATAAAGAATGAATTCATCTGTTCCCCTGAGATCTTGTTCAACTTTCGATCATGCCTATCATGTGAACCCCATCTATATAGTTTGAAACTACCAACACTTTATGAACCGATGACGCGTCTTCGTTTGATTAATCCTAGCTTTATTCCAACCTACGTCATTCGGCATTGTGCATCAAAAAAGATAGCGATTGCGTATGCATAACATGTTCTGATCGTCTTAGTCAATAAATATTAAAAGATCCATCAGCAGATTTTGTTATCCTTGCGTGGTACTTTACGCCTCATGTGAGCGTTGTTCATTCGATTGTCCAACCATGCATGTCTCATGCACCCTTACCATACAGATTATGTGTGAATTACAATAGTTGACCATTAAATTCAGCCTGGAGGTTGGTGCAAATATGCATCGGTCCAAGTTCTCACACTAAATCAACACATTGAGATGAAATTATCAAGCTAAATAACAACTGAGGGAAATAGCAATAATATTCGGTGATGGTTAAAAAAGATCAGCTATGGCGAATATGAATCCGTAGAATAAAAAGTATAAGATGATCTTAAAACTCATAATCTAAGCAAAGTCAAAAAGTGAATACATTTGGACCATTGCAACCTGTTTTAACTATGTCACTTAATGTCTCCAACCATTAGTTACGGTGATTACGCAAACCCTAACCAGTTAGTTGAAACCTACTAGCTTTCTTCTAGTCTATTTCTACCGCAGCCGAAATTGGGCATTAAGCTAAGCTGTGGTTAAGCATGTGTAATACATCCCTCATCCATCTCAGTCAGCGAAAATTCACAATCTTATGCATAACTTTTGAATGATATGGTTTTATTATTGGTATTCATATCTAAATTTTTCCGTGTCATTATTCTCTTCATTCTAATTGTCATTTAGAATAAACAAATTAAAGTTGATCATCATCAAACTCATGTTGATCATGCACCGTTACCAGAAGATAACATTGATCAGTTAACATGTTATTATTATTCAATCCCAACAGTAAAACAACTAATTAGTAATAAACATCATTTATATGATGCCACCATTCCTAAATTATTACAATCAATTAAAAAGAATTCATTAACAGGCGTTTCTGATACAAACAATCGATGTTATTCACTATGTGATGATGATGTTGATGATCCAACATCGGATTCTGATGGGTTGTATGCGAGTGTAAGTCATCCTCCGCCTCCGCTTCCCTCTTCTACGATTGGTAACAATTTTGTTACACAAGAAACACTCCAAGACACGGAAACAATAGTTAACGTAAATATTACTCCGACTACTACTACTACTACTACTACCACTACTACTACTACTACTACTAATAGTAATTCAATGCATACTAATGAAAACATGACTGGAAATAGTAAGTTTTTGCCATTGATTCGTGCGCATTCTGCTTTTCTTGAAGAAAAATATCCTAGAGGTTTATTATTATTATCACTATTATTATTATTATTATTATTACTATTATTATTATTATGCTTCAACTTAATGGATAAAATCATAAAAATGATGAGAAGTAAAATTGCAAATTCCCTCATATACGAGATTAATCCATTCCAACAGATATTGAAAGGTTTAAACAACTTGTAATAGTCTACAGAATCTGTGATCCTATCTATTAGGCAGGTAAAAATATAATTTATATTTGATTAAAAGATTTATTAACATTATCCGAAGTTAGATTTTGTCATTAAAATTCGATAATACAACTACAGAGCTATTGATAATTGCTAGGGAGTACTGAATAGATATTTTAGCCTACTATAGTATTATTCACTTAGTACCCATACCTGCTATATTGCTAGGAGTATAATCCAGGATTTTCATTTCTTGCTATGAGTGTGTTATCTTTAGATCATGTAATCACAATCGAATGGTTCACGTTTTTGACGCCTAGTCACAACTTAAAATCACAGCTCAAAATAATCTAAAACCATTAGTGGGTTTTATTGAATATTAAAACAATTAAAATTTGATATTTTAATGCTCATTCTGTTGCTAAAATCTAAATTAATATAATTAGCATAGGGATTGGGAATAAATATAGCTAACCAGTAAAAAAGAGAGTAGAACATACACATACTGAACAGTAATGGGGAAATGCAACAGAATTGATAATTATGGGCAATATAGCCTTATTTACAAGTAACATACAGCTTTCATGGATTGTTAGCTATGAAAAAAGACAGATCACACCAAAGTCAGACTGAGTTTGGATGCTAGGCGTCTAACGAAAAAAATTACAATCAATCACCTTGATTTATTTATTTAAACACATAAACATTGATATAAGGAGGCATCAAATATATATGCGCCACACTTCATTCGGTCTGTGTGAAGGCTGGAATACTTTTCGGGCGCTCAAACCAAAGCTGATAGTTTTCTTAGGGAGCCACGTCCAGAGTCTTTAACCTAAAGGTCTAATAAACAAGGCGAAGGAGTAACATTTGGAGATGCAGCCCATGTTAGCCAGTGACTAACAATAGATTCATACACCAATTGTTCCCTCAGGATGCTGGAGCCCATGTGCACCATTTGTTTGGAATCAAAGTTTTCCAACTCCCCTAGATGGATCCTCCATATGCACCAATCCGGTTAATGCTCCGGACACCGGTTGGTAGTTCAAGTTTTTGAATAAGTTGTAAACATCATAAATAAAATCATTAGGACAATAGAGAAATATGATGATTTGTGTATTCACCATAGTAGTAATAGATAAAGTAATAAATTTCAGAATGTTCCCAAAGATTTTTTTCTCGTTAACAATCTAAAATAAATGTGAAACAGTTATCGAAAATCCTCTCTATTCTTATACGAAATTCTCGGGCTTTTTTCACTCAGTATCAACTGAAGTGTGAAACTGTTTATTAGTGTACATATATGAATTAACCAAATTTATCTATCAAAACTAACTTGAAATACTAACTGATACTATAGTGGAAATCACTCTATTTATGTCCATACTTTGTTGATCAGTTCCAAACTGAGGTCAAACTAATTTTCATTTTAATAATTAAATTCATGAGTCGATGTAAGCTAGACCACCATTGAAAACCTGGAAGAACTGGACGGTCGTTTCGTCCTAGTATGGGACTACTCAGTAGTGCTCATCCACGATCCCGCCTGCATGACTCGAACCCAGGAACTTTGGTCTCGTGCGCGAACTCTTAACCTCCAGAGCAATGAGCCGGGATCCGACGGTGTTAATGTCTAACTTCAATCGGTTCATGATCTTGAGCCACCATTCATCCATTGTCTGAGGTAGATACATGTCTCCACTTGACACGGATTAGACTCCACAGGTCATGGCTTCTCACTAGAACTCCAGGAAATCCATCTTGAAGCCAGTCATTAATGACCACATGATGATTATTATCAGAATAGGGGTTTATGGAGATTGTATTAATTTTAATAGTTGAATTCATGGACCGATTGGAATCAGACATTCTGTAGAAGTTTAAAGTGACTTATCAATTGTTTTGTAAATTTTCAAAAAAATGTTTCTTATATATGAATATATATATTTCTTTATTCATCAGGACGTGATCCCTGTCAATCACATTATTCTCAATTAAAAGACGAATGTAACATGAGTAATAATAATAATAAAAAGAAGCGGGACGGTAATACAAAAAATCAGTACCATGGTGTTACTTTAGTCACCACGACTGCTACTACTCCTGGTATTACACTTCAATTTCCGAAATTCTCTTCAAAGATTTCAAATAATAATAATAATGATAATTATAACAGTAATAAAATTATTGATAACTGTCAACTATCTAATCAACCGACTTGTCATAATCATACGAAGATTGGAAATTGTTACCAATGTTCTGTAAGTTAATGTTGGTATTTTCTTCCTGTTCTGTTTTGTCCCATTTGTCACTATTATTTCTACTAATTTGTTCCAATAAAATTTATCGTATGAATTAAAATCGATTTATACCGCTGACATTGACAGTAATTATAGTAATGGAAAGAATTGGACAACTGGTTTTGACACCTAGTTTAGGTCTCCTTAATTGTATGCACTTACAACTGCACTATGGGATTAAACTGAGCTCCCCCATGTCTCGAGGTGAGTGCTCAATTTTCAGATCATCGAGATGAATTCCAATGATTTACATTTTCAATATCGATTATTTCATGATATAAAACCATCATTCAGTACCGTTGGTGGTATCTCTATCTATCGATCTCCTCTCTTCTGTTATGTCATGAATTCTCGCTATAATACGTCCATATTTTTTGAGAAGTTTTGTAAAGAGATCAACTTAATTTGTAAGTGGTTTTCACCACAGATTGATATCAGTTAGGGTAAGATCAGTGAGCATTGAATATCTGCTTTGTTCATGCCAAAGTGAGGCAAGCAGTCAGCACTGATGGTGCTTTATTAAGAATTATTCGAAGCTGGAAATGTAAACTATTTTAGATCAGATTCTACAATCTGATGATTAAACACTAACTATGAAGCTTTAAGGTCCTATATTCAATCTGTAGTGATGTTGTAAGTACGGGCTACCGAGTAACCGACTACCATGGCGTAACAGCTATGCAATCTTTCCTGGTTTTCAATGGTACCCTAACTAGATATCCTTTTGTAACAAACACCATATATAATCCAATATTTCTCAAAATTTAGTCCAGATTTCTAAAACTGGTATTTTCGAACTTTTAAACTGCTCGTAATATTGCATCCGGTTTCTTAAAACTCATCTTCCTCATGACTGATTAACAAGAGCGCCAACTTATTTCACACCTTATCAATTTCGATGTGAGGTACAATAAACTTTCTGAGTTTCTGTTTTCTGAATTGCTAAATTATGAGTTAGATCACTGTTGGAGGTAAAAGAATAGTGTATAATTATGTTGTAAGCCTCTTCTTTTATTACATTGGGTTCCCAGGTTGGGTACTCTAATTAATACTTAACACTCACCAGTGATCCTTCCCGCAACTGATTGTTACATGAGTTGTCGTCGAAATTTATTTTTTCGGTCATACTGACCGAATCTTGTCTGGTAGCACATAGATTCCGTTTCTATAGGACATCATAGATTAAATGCACCACACAAATGAGGTGAAAAACTTATGAAGAAGCAAGGGAGTAAAGTGTAGCCCAAATAGCAAATAAATGAACAATAATTATACATAATAAAAAAATAAATTCCAGCTAAAAATACAGACAAGAAAGACTTCATTCACTTGTTGGGGAGTTCATATCATTCTTACTATGAATCGAATCGAAAACTATGACGGGATCGCCATTGATTTCTATTATGTGCCATATCTAGACAACATCACTAAGTTGCATGATCTCTGGCCACTCCAACAGAAGAGTTATCAAGAACCGATAGATCCTAGTCTTATAAAACTGTCTTTCATGCTACAATGCTTTGCATGACTGGTATTATTCACATTAGAGTTATTTGAGACAATATTTAAGGAAAACTTATCAACAAAACATAAAATAAATATTCCTAGATTCGAAAAGCTAAGAGATGTATCTAAAATACGGATTATTACGTAATCGGACTCTTTAAATTTAGTATTAAATTATCTAATAACAAGAAAATTTTGAAGCAGATTGTGACCTAGAGTTGATTGATAAATTTTCAGTTAAATAATTAATGTCAGAAACTAATATACTTCAGTAGTGCGCGTTTACGATTCCATACATAAAACTCTAACCCAAGAAGTCAAGCGTTCACGTGTGGGACCGAAGGTTCTGAATTCGTGTCCAGTACTTTCTGCTTTTCAATAGTGCAGCAGCAATTTGGAAGACTCTGCCAGTCTCCCACATTGTATGAGCATTCCATGTACCTAAACAAATGGTTGCTCTGATTGTCAGAAGGGGCATCGGCCTCGTGACTTACGAAGGAACTCGGCTTTCATCATGAGGCATCATATTTCTTCTGAATGATGGCTTTCTGACTCCCAGGACAGAGTTTAAATGGTTTGAATAATTTTCTCTGGTTGGCGTTTTTTGAGCGAGTTGATTTTCTACGGGATGGACTCGCTAACCCCATGCCCAACCCCCCTCCCTTCTCCGGGCTTGGGACCAGCAGTAGCCTCCGGAGGGACTCCAGACGGAGTTGCTTTTCAATGGTGGTCTGACTTAAATCCATTCATGATTTAAATAAAATTAAATATATGTTTGTACTTAGTTTTATTATGAACTGGTCAGTTAAGTGATTTGCTAAAATTTTGTACAATTTCCAGTTAATAATGAGAACCCATTTTAACATTAAATTGAGGCTTAAAAACCTTGTGGTAGACATGATACTACTCAATGATTCAGTCAGTTTTCCAGGATATGATATTTTACTAATACACACTTTCAAAGTATTATATGTATTTTATATGGGCAAATAAAATAACTTAAAAATATCTAAGTTACAATTGGGATACGTACGTACGAAGTTTTATGCTGTTGATGACTGACTGACAATTGGGATAAGTTAAATTCTAGCGTTAAATACAACTTGTCTCGATACAGATTTATACAACTTAATCTGTAATTAATTTAACTAATATTCACGCATTCTGTTTATTTAAAATTGATATTTCAGACAACACCTTGTGTTCATCTGTATGCTCAAGTTACACCGTGTACAAGAACACAACAGTCTACTCTCGCCGACTCAGAAATGAAATTTAATAATAATAATAGTGTCTATAGTTCAAATTATATACGTAAGTGAATTGGTACGTAAATATTCATTAATATGTAAAATTAAATATTATTTATATAAATGGAAGCAGGTTAAAGTTTTTTTTGGACCCAAAATTTAAACTGCCTACTTAAGGTTGAGAAGCCGAGTAATGTTAGTACCTTTCATATAAGTATTATTAGAGGTAATCCACATGTAGCTCTGTAGTATTTAGTTTTCAAGCTAGTCGACACTTATCAGTAATTTGTTTCTACAATTTTTGGTGATTTGATGTTCTCTGTGAAAATTGAGGCCAATCCGCTCAACGCCACAGTCAACGATGTTCACATTGATCTATTTGATTCGCTCTCTTTAAGATCATAATCGATTGGTACATACATCCACTATCACTTCTTGGGATCACTTTTGTTCATTTAGCCCAAATGTTTGTTGTGATGTAATATTAACTTTTACATAGATGATCGTATTTACAATTCCGTATAGATGAAATGAAAAATTGAGATTCCACTCGATAATAGTCTACACCAATGATTACTTGGTAAATTTAGTTGAATGAAATTGAGTAATGTGGTGTAATTTGTGACTAAAACAATTGTGAGATTTAATCTCATCACAACGATCATGTCAGTGAATCGATCAAACCTAGGAAACCTTTGATACCTAGGTGATAGCTTTTCAGTAATATTCACCTATAACTTTGTCAGGAATGAAATCTGGGACATTCAGGTCCGGGATTGATTCGAATACTCCTAGACAACTGTCCATTCGTTCAAATTTTCAATTTCATTCAATTCGTAATATAGCTTGATCCTCATCTGATACCTTACAATTGACTCTAATCCCAGACTTAAAATAGAATTAACATTTAGTTCATCCTGGTTTTCTACAGTCCTCCAACTGGTATGGAAAAATAAGGGATTGTATGTGACTTTCCTGTATACAGAATTAGGGTTTGAAATGGTGAATTACTATAGCCTCGGCTGTGCATAACTTCCTCATCCAACTCTTTTTTGAGCTAGTTCTTCCTACTTTGTAGAGGATTTAGAACGTAAATTCGCGTGGTGAGACGTGAACTGAATTGACCATGTGTTCGACAACTGAGGTGTTGATGATATGTATATATCCCTTTAGATAATGATGCAGGTTAGTGCTTGGATATTCGTTCACCAAGTGCGTGCTCTGTACGTCCTATATAACCTGCTTCACAAAAGCAAGTAAACTGGTAGATACACATTGAGGTGGCTTAAAGTGCAATTTATCCTTGACACTTCCCTGAATGAATTTCTTGCTGGAAAAATAATTGGAGCTCTGCTGAATAAAAAGTTTTTTCGAGGATGTGGATAGTTTGTTTTTTTAATATCTCAGCTGCCGTATTTCCGTTGAACTCGACTTTCGAGAATAAAACTTTCTTCCGAACTGTGAGAGTTTTTCCGCTTGACGTTCTGGTTTTAGATAACTGTCACTGGAATTGGGTGGAACGTCATACTCCAAAAGTGTTCGTCAGATTTTATTCTTATTATTATCGTATAATGTTGTTTGTACTATCTAATAATTATCTTTTTGATTGAGATCATTAACCGATTGATGTTAGACCACCATTGAAAACCTGGAAGCACTGGACGGCCGTTTCGTTTTATTGTGGGACTCCTTAGCAGTGCGCATCCACGATTCCGCTCGCGGGATTCGAACCCAGGGCCTTCAGTCTCCTGCGCGAACACTTAATCCCTAGACCACTGAGTCGGCATCCGACGGTGTTAATGTCTAACTTCAATAGGTCTGCTGAGGAGTCCCGTAATGGGATGAAACGGCTGTCCAGTGCTTTCAGGTTTTCAATGGTGGTCTAACATCAATCGGTTCATGATCTCAATCAAAAACTTCATCCCCACAACGCTATACCGATAATAATTATCTATTGTTCAGTTGAATTATTCTAGCCTAATGTAAAATTTTTTTTCCAAGATAAATTAGTTATAAGTAATTTGTTTATAGAGGTGAATAGGAAGAAAGAATATGGGAGATAGATTTGAATAGAAGAACGGAAATGTCACTACTCATTTGTAATGATTCTTTTTTTTTTCCAAACGACCATGAAAATTCCTTCAATAATTCTAGTCTCTTATAAAAGCTTTTATGATTATCTTGTTGGCTTACTTCCTTCATTCATTAATTCACTATTCTATAGTTAATTTTCATACTGTTAAGCCTTATACACTATTTTATTGATGGAAATATAATTATACTACTAATATTCAATGTGATAAGTAGCTGGCGCCAATTTGTTATACCTTTATGGTAATAGTATTGCTTTTGTGTTTTCGATAAATATAACCAAAATCACTTCAATTCCCTTCGTTTGGTTGTTTTTAAAGATAATTAGTAATATTAGTATTAGTATTCCTATTTCATACATAGTCTAGGTAAGTCAATCAGTTATAATCTACGTAAAGCCTGACATAAATTTTCATTAGTCCATAATACTGTAGCAAGCCCATTCCATTAATGTATTATTTGTCTACACAACTGTGTTAATTTCCATATGAGTATGATTGCGCGTGTGTCTGCACTTCAATCCCTATTCTATTCCCCATTGGTTGTGACACATAGATAATCAATAATTTATCTACACTTGATTGATACTCACAAATATATATATGGATCTTTTAACACAGACACACACACTTTGTTTTTTGTCTCACTCGGTGCTTGCTTGCTGTATGTTTGCGGATTTTACCAAGCTTTAACAATAAACTATCTCTATAACTGATATTTGGACTTTTGAATGATCTCGAGTAAATCGATAATTCTACTAGGAGATTAAGCCTGTATTAAATACTCGGTTAATGAGATATCTTTATTTGGAGTCGAATATAGAGGAAATTTATCTCAACAAACTTGGTTAACCTCTACAAACTGGTGAGCCGCAAAGTCTGCTGCATATTCTCCAATCATAAAGAACTTCATATTGGAATTACTATTGCAATTATTAACAATACATTGACAGTCAGTAAATTCATCTATAACATTGTTGCTTTGGAATTATTACTTTATATTTGCCTATTTAAACTCAAAGTGACCTTTGTTTTCGGTGAGTCTCATATATATTTCTTGTTGTTATTTTGGACTTATTCATATCATATATTTCAATCCTCAGCTTATTATTATTGCTATTGTTATTATTTCTTCGTATCATGTCACTTGATAATTCACCAAGCCTTTCATCTAAGTCTATTTCCGTGGGTGCCATCTCTGTACCTTTACCTGTCTTTAATCCCCGAAAGGCCGAACTCTGGTTTGCACGCTTAGAAAGCTTTTTTGTTGCAAACAGAATCACAAATCAGAACACAAAATTTAGTTATGCAAACTCATTGCTGCCAGACGATATTATAGAACAAGTATCTGACGTCATTTTTAAACCGGATCCAGACTCACCATAGGATTGTCTAAAAAGAGAGGTCATTCGTGTTACATCTCTCACCGACCAGCAAACAATTGATCAACTTTTAGCTAATGTAGAGCTAGGTGACAGTACACCATCTCAATTGAAACGCCACATGACAAATTTATTGGGGAATCGTACAGTAGATAAACGTCTATTATATCAATTGTGGCTCAGACGTCTCCCACAAAACATCCAACAGATACTAGCAATCGGAGACGAGGATATAGATTTTGATAGGCTAGCAGATATAGCCGATAGAATTTACGAGCGAACTAGGACGCACTTCGTATCTCACATACAATCAAACTCATCTGACGAGATCGCCGAGTTGCGACGAACAGTCAAAGTCCTCGCTAATCAGATAACTCAGCTCCAATTTTTGAATACCTCCCACAGTAAGCGGAAAGGAAGGTTCAGAAGCCGTAAAAGTCGTAGTCCAAGCACCACTCGACATAACATTTGTTGGTACCATAAAACGTACGGTAAGCAAGCTAAAAAAATGTACTCCTCCCTGTAATTTCGCAAGCACACAACAAAGAGACCATCATGAACGTCGGTTAATGACGACTGCAGTCGCTGAACACAACTCTGAAAGCAGTCGCTTGTTACATGTTACAGACAAAAGGACTGAAACACAATTCTTAGTCGACACTGGGGCAGAGGTTAGTGTAGTACCACCCACTACACTTGAGAAAAACACACCTGACCCCAAACTAATACTACAAGCCGCAAACAGATCTGAGTTCAAGACGTACGGCAAAAGGCAGTTACAATTAAATTTCGGTCCTAAATCCAATTTTTCATGGAACTTCATCATAGCTGACGTCCTCATTCCTATAATCGGCATTGATTTTTTACAATCGCATAAAATACTCGTAGATGTAAGAAATCGGAAACTTGTTCTTGCCGACCATAGCAGTGAAATTAGAGGGATTATTTCTAACGAGACGTCCATACATTTATTGATCAAACCTCATCGCGAGAATGACAAGTACGTTAGTTTACTTAATCAGTTTCCAGACTTATTACGACCGAGTTTCAAACGGGACAAACTGACACATACCGTCGTACATCATATTAAGACAGAGGGTCCACCAGTGTTCGCACGTCCAAGACGCCTTGACCCCTCTCGTTTGGCTCTAGCAAAGAACGAATTCAACAAAATAATAGAGTTGGGTATCATACGCCCCTCCGATAGTCCGTGGGCATCACCGCTCCATTTGGTACCCAAGAAAAACTTCCGAAGTTAGACCTTGCGGTGACTATAGAGCTCTCAACAGCCGTACTGTACCAGACAGATATCCACTTCCACATTTGCATGACTTCACTCATGGTCTATCTGATGTGACGATTTTTTCAAAAGTTGATCTCGTCCGCGCTTACCATCACATTCCAATTCACCCGGACGATGTTCCCAAAACAGCCATTACTACCCCATTTGTATTATACGAATTTGTTCGCATGCCTTTCGGATTAAGGAATGCTGCACAAAGTTTCCAGCGTTTTATCGACCAAGTAGTACGTGGCTTACCTTTCGTATATGCTTACATAGATGACCTTCTTATCGCAAGCAAAAATGAAAA